GAAGCTGATGAACAAAAGAATTCAGTGGCTGCATCCACTAGTACTCAGCTTCACAATCCGGAGGAGCCGATTGAAAATTGGATGGCTCGCAACGCACACCTGTGGGTGTATACCCCTCATGTAAGTGAGGTGATGATTACGCTTGGTGTGACCAATGTGTCGGACTTGCAAGAGTTCATCTTTGTGGAAGATTTGGTTGACAAAGGGATCAACAAAGTGACCGCATGCAAAATTCTGCAATTGGTGGGTGAGGTCCGATATCGACCGGGAGGACCGGAAAAGGCAGTTCCTTCTGATGCATCTGTACGGGTACAACAATCTTCTGGGAACAAAGGGACTGGAAGAGCGGCGGTGCGAACCCTCACTCAGGTGCGTGAAGCTGAAGACTCCGGTGCAAAAACTATGCCGAGAGGTTCCTATCGGGAGCTTTTTGATAAGGTCAGGTACCGTGATGGTTGGACGCTTGCGCAGAGGTCTCCGTTGTGCGTACAGAAGCTGCGGTTGGTGGGAGTTGGAATGCCGCCGGTGAATCCACCAACGAAAAAGTATCGGTCAAGATCAAACCCTGTAAGAAGGGGAAGGCCCTTGCTGGACAAAAAACAGGTGCGACAGGTGCCACGATCTCGGTCACAACGACGAGTGCAACTGGCGGAAGTGGTGGAAAAACCGAAGCCACTGGAGCCGGTGAAACCTCGTGGTGGTTTGTCGTATCCATTCAGCAGAGCGTGGGCAGATGTGGTGGATGATGATGACCAGGCGGAGGCTTTGGTCTCGTATGCCGCTTCCTCAAGCGATTCAAGCGAGGAGGAGACCAATGCGGTACAACGCCTGAAGGAACTCTTTTTGCAAGAAAGGGATTCGTGGAGAACTGCGAGTCGTGGCAATGTTCCACAAAGTGGTTCTTCAGGCTCCAATGATGGGCCGAAAAAATCGGTTCACCTTGGCGAAGGGCGCGACAAAGCGTCGCGGGGGGAGACCCGCCAAGAAGTGACTTCACAAGTTTTTTCGCTACCACAACCTTCTCGTCGAGCTGAACGGTCTCAAAAAAGAACAAGGGATGGTTCAGTTATGGTTGGTTCGCTGGCGGTGGGCTCCACGGATGAGGTTTTACCTGGGCAAGGTGCTGCTGGACAGGTGAATGTCTCTGAAAGCGCTCAAGTTCTTCCTGGGCATGAAGTGGCTGGACAGGAGACGGCGCCGGAAGGAGCAGTACAGATTTCTGGCGAGGAGACCGACCAAAAAGAAGGAGAAGGCGGGAGCAATGATCTCCGTGGTAATGATGCGAAGATGTTGGATGGTGGTCCGGTGAGGAGTGACCTTCAGCAATTGCTGGTGAAAGGCCTTCTGACTCGAATTTATTGGAAGGTTGCAGTTGGCAAGTTGCCAATGGGGCAAAGAGATTGCCAAAAAGGGTCCAATAAGATGGATCGAAATTTGGTTATTAGCATGTCATCCGAGGGTGCAAGCGAACAGGATGAGAACCTGGCACTGGAGGACGATGCTGATCAGTCAATGGGAGACGGTGCAATGGTTATGGTGTATGATCCAGGAACGCTGATCCAGTCGCCAACAACTGATTGGGTTATGCGTCGCGGTCTGACCGATCGTACCGTCTGGCCAGCAATGGCGCACCTGGCACAGAGGATATGTGCTGAAATGGTTCAAGTGGATGAAATGAATGCCCAGCTAGGGACTGGAACACTCCTTTTTCAAAGGAGAGATCAAGGATATTATACTGACCTGCATCATTCGTTCCATGACAACCCGTGCTTGCCGGCGGTGGGGAATTACCCTCTTTCGGTGATGGGTGCCTTGTTGTCTCCTGGTCTGGAAGGGGAATTCAAGAATACGGACAAGTTTGGTACTGCTATGGAGGCAATTGCCTATGATTGGAGCCGCAGTCCAGGCATGGAAGTTCATATTGAACTTATGGCGAGGGTAGCCAAAATGGTTCACCCATTCCTGAATCTGGGAGCACAAGGGTCGGTGATGGTTTCAGAATTTCTCTGGCAGCGCGGGAGGGCTCGGTTGATGGAGTTTCTTCAAGCGGCGACTTGTGCGGACCAATTGGAGGCTCTCTGGAGAAGGATGGACGACGATGCGGATGAGGAGGTGGATCCTTCGACAGCGATGCTGGAAGTTCTTGGACTAGAGGATGCGGTGCTTGATCAAGGGAACAATGAATCCCTTACTCCCATTGAAGATGCTGGAGGTGAGACAAGCGGTGACACTGGAGGGAAGGGCAAAGCGCCAGAAGTTTCTCCGGAAGAGGAGAAATCCAGTGGGTCATCCAGACTGGCGGACACAAGGATTTTCTTGTGGTCAGTGTACTCCCGCGTGGCTTCGAATTTCTCTATGCAGGACCGCACTACTGGTAAGATCTTTGACAGCACCAAAGGATATCCTGGTGAAGGACCAAACAATGATGACAATCCTTCCTCTAAGGGGAACTTTCCCTGGATTTCAGAAGACTACCTCGACGAAGTGGTGTCAAAAAAGATGGAAAGGTCTTCAGAGATGGATGGGTTTGTTCCGGGAAGTGAGGGATCATTGGAAAAGGTAGAGGTGGAGAATGTTACTGCCTCTAAAATTCTTATGGCTCTTTGGAAGAAGGGACATAGAGTTGGGTTTAGAAGGTTGCGTCGTTTGAATGCATCTGGATGCAAGGTTGGAGCAATGAAACGTCCAATCAAAAGGGTGCAGAAGATTGGCGCTAGGAAGGCCTTCATGAAGATGTTCAATGTTTTTGGATCGTCTCAGCATGGCTCAGGAGTTGGCGGAAAACCGATCATGAAGGTGGTAGGACCAAGGCCAGGTTTTCCAGCTGTACTCCAAGCACCAAATACTGATAGCACGTCGGGTGAAGGGAGCAGTCCCCAGGTACATGGCAATGTTCATGTAGAGCACAATCGCCCTATGGACCGGTATGAGGCAGAGCGCTTGGAGAAGAGGAAGAAGGGTTTCTGCTATTGGTTTGGCAAAGGGAAAGATCGCTGCAAATTTGGTGACGACTGCAAATTCATCCATTCCGAAGATGATGTGGTGCTACATTCATATTGGTGCAAATACTATGTGGCAGGGAGAGAATGTTTCGCTGGAAAGGATTGTGGGTTCTCGCATGATGCAACTGGTGTGAGGTGCGTCCAGTTTGCTCGGTCTGGGAAGTGTCGATTTGGTGACAGGTGTGTCTTCGAGCATGGTGTTCCGTTGGAAAAACAGAGGCCAAGGTCTCCAAGGACGCCCCCAAGGGATGGTCCAAGGAGAAAGTCTGGTGCAAATGGTGGAGAAAAGGAGATCCCTCCTGAACAGTTCGATGATGATGAGGAGGATTTTATGGTTTATGACGAAGAGACCAAGATGACGGAACTGTTGATGGAGGCGATTTCATTTCTCTCCGGTGGCAAGCCAGATTTGGCTCGAGCAGAGGCGGACCCATTGTTCAAACTCCTGAAGTTCACTGGAGATGCTGACCAAATGGATCAAGTATGGGTTTCGTGGACCACTGAAATGTTGTCAGTGCTGGAACTTCTCGAAGTAGTGAAGTCGTACGATGTTTCGCTCGCGGAGGTGGAAGAATGGGTCAATGACCTGAGGATATGGTATGAGCGAGCCAATTTGGGAGAAGAAAAGGATCCCAAAAAAGGGACAAAGAGGTCCCTAGAAGGGGAGTCCAGCAAAGATATTCCTGCCGAAAAAGAAGTGGTTGAGACTTCGGAGACGGAGGTTGCCGTTGAGGAGGAGAAGAAAAAGGTAAAAAAGAAGAGGAAAGCTGCAGCTATCGAAGATCCTTATACCCTTATGGTTCCAAAGCCGAAGAAGATGCCGGCGATCATTGAGAAGGGTGGATCATCATCCAATGTGGTGGTTTCTGCAGTGGAAAAAGCCTCAAAAGCGCGCACAAAGTCAAATGTCGGTGGAAAGACAAAGAAGAAGGAGAAAAGTCAGAGTCCCAAAAAAGAAGAGGTGGTAATGGTGCAAGATCCTGAGGAAAAGGATCGTCCATCCGATGCGGAGGCACCAGGGTCTGCCAATGCGAATGAAGAGCTGGATCAATCTTGCCAGGCGATTGAGGATGCGAAGAGAGAAGGATTGGTATCCTCAATTCAAAGGGGCATACAGGATCCTGTTCTTACAGTTTCGGACCTGGAGTATATTCTGCTGCAACTTCACCTCAAGATTGCCAACAATCGGAAAAAGAAGTGATTGGATGGTATGGATGAAGGGATGGTTTTTCTCTTTCTGGAGACCGGTGCGCTGGAACAGCCAATGTGCTGACAATGTGGTGGTTACTATTAAGGGTATGGAAATCCCTGATAGTAGGAGTCAGTAGCTTTTCGCGTAGCGAAGACCACGGTTTGTGGTGAAGAAGGCCAAGGAGTCTTCAGTGATGAGAGGATCAAGGTGAAAAAAGATTCTCTATGGGTAGTAGGTTAGCCAATGTGCTATAATTCCGTCCTGGAAGACGTTAAACCACAATTTGCATTTCAAGCAGCTGGCTGCTGCCGTAATGGCAGTTTTTGGCCAAAAGATCTGCATCTCCAATGTGTCCTAGGAAATCCTAGGACAGGGGGAGTGCGGAGCTGCAATTGGTATTGTAGAAAGGAGTTAGTGTTGGAAGTTGGAAGGGTTAATGAACCCGGTAATCGTATTTGGCTCAAGATGGGCTTGAACAGAAAGCCACAAGTTCAAAAAGAAGTGCCTGGGTTCTTAGGGTTTGGTAAGGGTGTGGATTCCTTCCCCCTTTCCTTCCCCCCTGGGTTGCTCTTATCCGTGTTCTTGGTTGTTTCTTGGTTCGATCTGGGAAATATAAGTTCAGGGCGATTAGGGGAGTTGATTTCCTTCCTTGGTTGTCCCCCCGTACCCGAAACCCAAAACCCAAAACCCAAAACCCAAAACCCAAAACCCAAAACCCAAAACCCAAAACCCAAAACCCAAAACCCTAAACCCCGAACCCTAAAACCTAAACCCTAAACCCCAAACCCTAAACCCTCGAAGCCTGCCTGCATGAAACAGGGGCACTCCGTGACCCAAGGCCAAGAAGGCCGTGCAGAGCCAGTTCGAACGTATGCGTTCCTGAGCTCGGGAGAGGGCGTGGGGGCCATGATGCCGGAAGCCCCCAAAAAGTGTTGAGGGCTTAGACCCTAAACCCTAAAACCTAAACCCTAAACCCTTATAAACCCTACACCCTAAACCCTAAACCCTAAACCCCAAGCCCTCTGGCTTTAGGGGCCTTCAGCTAAACTTCGCAACCCAGAAGGCCTAGAGACCACCCAAAATACGACTCTCCCAACCCAACCCCAGCTGAAACAGCCTGAGCTGGCTAGGGTTTAGGGTTTAGGGTTTAGGGTTTAGGGTTTAGGGTTTAGGGTTTAGGGTTTAGGGTTTAGGGTTTAGGGTTTAGGGTTTAGGGTTTAGGGTTTAGGGTTTATAGAAATTGTATAGGGTTTGGGTTCCAAAAAGTTTTGACCGAAAGTTTTGACCGAAAGTTTTGACCGAAACGTTTTGACCGAAACGTTTTGACCGAAAGTTTTGACCGAAAGTTTTGACCGAAACGTTTTGTTTTTTGGAACTATGCTTTTCATTTTTGGGGAGGCGGGGGGGGGGGGCTGAGGCTTGGGGGCTGGCGGCTGGCGGCTGGGGGTGGCTGGGCTGGGGCTGGGGCTGGCACTAAAACTGGGGCTGGGGCTGGGGGTGGGCTGGGGCTGGCGCTGGGGCTTTGCGACAATTTGGGGTTTTGGAAGCCAATTTTGGGCTTTGGGAGGCGATTTGGGCCTTGGTTTGCGGGGGCCCGGGAAGGCCCCAGAGGTTTAAGTAAATTGAAGATTTGGCCTCCCGGCCTCCCGCTTTGGATTAATTTACTTAAACTCTGTTTGTCAGCTGTTTAGACAAATACCTTGGGAAATTCAGATTGATACCACATACAATTTCTATTTATTTTGTCTTGAGGGTTTAGGGTTTAGGGTTTAGGGTTTAGGGTTTAGGGTTTAGGGTTTAGGGTTTAGGGTTTAGGGTTTAGGTTTAGGGTTGAGGGTTGAGGGTTGAGGGTTTAGGGTTTAGGGTTTAGGGTTTAGGGTTTAGGGTTTAGGGTTTAGGGTTTAGGGTTTAGGATTTAGGATTTGGGGTTTAGGGTTTAGGGTTTAGGGTTGAGGGTTTAGGGTTTTAGGGTTTTAGGGTTTGGCCTCAACTTTGCACCACCCCTACCACCCCTACCACCCCTACCACCCCTACCACCCTACCCCTACCACCCACCACCCCTACCACCCCTACCACCCCTACCACCCTACCACCCCTGCCACCCGACCACCCCGACCCCCCACCACCACCACTTACCACCACCCCTCCACCCCTACCCAGGAGCGACGTTTAGGGTTGAGGGTTAGGGAATAAAGAACGGACCTCTACAAGGGTGGTGGGGCTAGGGGTATGGTGGTGGTGGGGCTCGCTGGGTGGGGGTGGTGGGATTGGGAGGGGGTTTGGGGCGGTGGGAAGGGTGGTGTGGCTAGGGATGGTAGGGATGGGGGTAACTCGGGGTGGTGTGGTACCGTTCCGGCCCGCGCCGGTACCACCAATATTTATCAAGAGAATCGGGAGTAAAACCGGGTAAATGAATACCGCCGTGCCGAATCGTTACAGCCATGGTTCTTTTGGGGTGGATCGAAGGCCTCAAAGTTTCGGGTTGACAAGGCTCTCAACGCTCTCAACTTTCAACCCTCAACCCCTCAACCCTAAACCCTTCAGCCCTAAACCCTAAACCCTAAACCCTGAACCACTCTGCAGATAGAAGGCGCATGGCGTGGCAATCCAAGGCGACAGCTTCCAGACTGTGCTGTCGTACAGCGTCTCATTGTCATGTACCTTAGGAAATGTTTAGGGTTTAGGGTTTGGGGTTTGGGGTTTAGGAGCTCTGGGAACCCTAGGAGAGTCCGACCCTGGCAGCCCCAAATCCCATTAAACCTTTAAACCCCGAAGCCCTAAAACCCTTAAACTCAAAAACACACCTGAAACCCTAACCCCTACACCCCTACACCCCTAAACCCCTAGACCCCTCAACCCCTCAACCCCTCAACCCCTCAACCCCTCAACCCCTCAACCCCTCAACCCCTCAACCCCTCAACCCCTAAACCCCTAAACCCCTAAACCCCTAAACCTAAACCCCTAAACCCCTAAACCCCTGAACCCCTGAACCCCTAAACCCCTAAACCCCTAAACCCCTAAACCCCTAAACCCCTAAACCCCTAAACCCCTCAACCCCTCAACCCCTCAACCCCTCAACCCTAAACCCTAAACCCTAAACCCGAACCCTCAGCCCCGGCGGCGCAGATGAAGTTGACGACCTCCGCGGGTGACACGACGTAGGCGGCGCGCCCGCCATGCACCTCACCTTCGCACCATAAAGGGTTTATAGGGTTTAGGGTTGAGTGTTGCAGGGCTCATAGGGTTTAAGGATTTAAGGGTTAGGGGCTTAAAGGTTTAGACTTTAGAGGGATTGTGGGCGGTGGGTACTCTTTTTCAGCTTCAGGTCCAAAACAGGGACCTATACCCTAATCCCTGAGCCCACCTAAAACCGCAAAACCTTATCCCCCTTCAACACAAAACCCTTTGACCTTAAACATCTCCTCTAAACTCTAAGCCCTAAGCCCTAAACCCTAAACCCTAAACCCTAAACCCTAAACCCTAAACCCTAATGCTTTGCTTCCAAGCCGCTGGCAGGCACATGCCGGCGACCGAAGCAATCCTCCTGGAGGTTTATTTAGGGTTTAGGGTTTAGGGTTTAGGGTTTAGGGTTTAGGGTTTAGGGTTTACAGGTTTATTTAGGCTTTATTTAGATTTAGGGTTGATTTAGGGTTGATTTAGGGTTTAGGGTTTAGGGTTTAGGGTTTACAGGTTTATTTAGGCTTTATTTAGATTTAGGGTTAATTTAGGGTTTATTTAGGGTTTAGGGTTTAGGGTTTACAGGGTTTACAGGGTTTACAGGGTTTACAGGGTTTACAGGGTTTACAGGGTTTACAGGGTTTATTAAGGGTTTGTTTAAATTTAGGGTTTATTAAGGGCTTATTTAGGGTTTACAGGATTATTAAGGGTTTATTGAGATTTAGGGTTATTTAGGGCTTATCAGGGGTTAACGGGTGTACTAAGGAGTTTAGGGTTCATAGGGGTTTAGGGTTTACGGGGTTTAGGGCTTGGGGTGTAGGGTTTAGGGTTGATAGGGGGTTCGAGTGTATAGGCTATAGGGGCTTCGGGGTTTAGAGGGCTTCGGGCTTAGGAATTCTAAAGCTCAGAGGTTTAGGGTTGATAGGGTTTGGTGTTTATAGGTTTTACAGGGTTTTTCCGGTTTTATAGGGTTTATAGGGTTTCTAGGGTTTTAGGGTTTACAGGGTTTACAGGGTGGTGAGTTTTCAGGGTTTACAGGGTTTAGGTTTGACAGGGTTCAGGTGTTAAGGGCTTTCCCGGCTTAGGCTTTATAGGGTTCAGGTTTGAAGGTGTTTATGGTTTAGGGTTTGAGGGCTTGAGGGTTTGAGGGCATACAGAGTTTAGGCTTTAGGGTTTGAGGGGGGGTTGAGGGTTCAGGCTTCAGGGAGTCGGGTTAGGGTGTAGGGCTTAGGGTTTAAGGTTTAGTTTCCCCTACACCCTAAACCCTAAACCCTAAACCCTGGTTTAGGCTTTGGGCTGCAAAGCAGCCGTCGAGGTCAGTATCGGTCGCCCTTGCCCCTTTGTTGGGTGAGGAGCGCAGTCCCCTAAGCCATAAACCTAGGGTTTAGGGTTTAGGGTTTAGGGTTTAGGGTGCCCCTAAACCGTGGGTAGGTCTCCGAGTTCGGGTGTATTTTGGGCTTCCTGCATGGAATACGGCACTCTTAAGATTAGGACTCCGAAGCCGTATGCCCCCAACCCTACACGGGTTTTGGAGATTTGGGCTTAAAGCTCTAACCGTAAACACGAAACCTTAACATTGCATGGTTTTTTGAGTTTACCTAGGAAACCAGACACACAGGCTTCAGCTGTAGGTCTACCCACTTTGACCCAAACCTCCAAGAACGCAATTTCACGAAATCCCTCAACCCCTGTCACATCCATCAAAACCCTCCAATCCCCCCAACCCCTCAACCTTCAACCCTCAAAGCCCTCAACTCCCCCAAACACCTCAAACCCTAAACTTCACCGAGTAAAACCACCCTCCTTCCACCAGGACTCTCTGACGCGCCTGGCCCTCCTGAACCCTGACAGGTGCCGATTTAGGATTTATGTAGGCCCGAAACCCTAATTCCCTGAACCCCCCCCCCCCCCACCCAAAAAAAAATAAAAAATCGGAGGGTCATATTTACCGTCGGTATACGGTGGTCGAACCTGCAAGCCGAAACGCTTTCAACCCTTCCTACCTCGGACCCTTTTTGCCTGCAGTGTTACGGGTTCTACCTACTGGTTAAGGGCAACTACTGCTAAACTGTAGGAACATAGTCCCAGGTAAGCCCTAAACCCTAAGCCCTAAACCCTAATAAGCCCTATAACCCTAAACCGAGGTACACGGTGCCAAGCGCCTCCAGGACGAAGGCTCGTAGTCCGGAAGCTAAGCAGACACGAATGGTGTCGGCTGCCACCTGGTTTAACGCCCTACGAGCCACTTTGTAACCCTGAAGCCCTGCGACTTCCTAGCCCGACACGCTAAACCCCTAAGCCCCTTAACCCCCAAACCCTAAACCCTAACCCTTAACCCCTTAGCCCCTTAGCCCCTTAACCCCCATGCGTTCAGCTTTCTGGGCTCTCAAAGTGTGTAGACTCATGGCCCTCCCCACTGCCCTTCCCAGCCAGAACAACCCTAAACCCTAAACCCTCAACCTTCAACCCTGAACCCTAAACCCAACACCCCCCGCGCCCCCACACTGCACAACACCCTGCCCCCCTTATAGAGATAGGCTTTAAGGTTTGGGGTTGAGGGTGTAGAAACAACAAGAACAACTTTCAAGACCCATGATCCGAAAGCTTGCAGGTCTCATAATAATAGTGGTACTGCTCAAAATACCATCAATACTAAAAGTTCTCCCACATTTCTGCGACCTTAAACCGAGCACAGCATTAGTTAAGCCTCACACTCATGATGCCGGGCAGCTTTGGGATGAAGAGCTGATGGGCTTTAGGTTTAGTTTTTTTTTAGGATCTAGGGTTCAGGGTTTATGAGGTTCAGGGTTTCTGAAGCTTTGGGGGTTTACAGGATTTAGGGTATCGCCACGGACCCTAACGAGGTTGACCGTGATAATAGGGTTCGGGGTGTAAAGGGTTGAAACGAAGGGCAGTGGCATGGGCCTTCTTTGGCGGCCCTTGACAGGGGGCTCCCTTCTATACCACCTCAACACCCAATAAAACCCAAGGGCCCATGCTTCAGAACGCTTGAAAGAAGGTAAGGGACCATATTAACAGATCATGCAAACTGCCCTTAGAGTCTAACTGCCCTTAGAGTCTAGTGTTTGCTGCATGCAGCCACATCAGGTGTATCAGGTTAGGGCACGGTGGGTTTTAGGAGGGCTAGAGGGTTTGGGCTTTAGGGTTTCAGTTCGGTTTAGTTAGGGTGCGTGGGGTGGGGCGGGACTCAACCCCCCCCCAAAAGCTTTAGATTTTGTTCGCCCTGGGGTCATGGGGTTCTACCTTGGACCCTATCGTTGTACCCTTGGGTTCGGGGACCCTTCGTAAAGATGCTCGAAGGGAATATAAGGGCCATGGTAGGAGTAAACACAGGGAACCGCTTAGGCGTACACCCTAAACCCAAACCCCAAACAGGGTCCGAGTATGACTCCCTTGATGGGGCCCTAACAAAAAAACCGCAAAACCCTACACTCTAAACCCTAAACCCCAAACCCCAAACCCTAAACCCTGAACCCTGAACCCTGAACCCTAAACCCTAAACCCTCACCTTCAGTTTCTTCATCTGCTCCTGCGGAGAGCCTGCAACGGAAGGAAGCTTACGAGCACTATCATGACAGTCTCCGAACCAACCCGGTTCTTTTACGAAACCAAGGCGCGCCTAAACTCTAAACCCTAAACCCTAACCCCTAAACCCAAAAATAGCCCCAACTAATAGGATTCCCTGCTACTAAGGACCCCAAGAAGATATCACCCCCGCCCCCCACCCCCCCGCCCCCCAATTTCGGAAACCACCACCCCTGAAGGGGGTGAACCAGACCCTAGGTTTTAGGGTTCTAGGGTTCTGGAGTTTTAGGGTTCTAGGGTTCTAGGCTTTTAGGGTTTAGGGTTCTAAGGTTCTAGGGCTCTATAAAACATTTCCCACCCCCCCCCCCCCCCCCCAAGAAGAAGGGTTCAGTGTGGGTGTAGGTTTTAGGGCGTTTCAATCCCTAGACTCAAAACCCTGAACCCTAAACCGGGGCGGTTAGGCTTATAGGGTTTAGGTTGTATAGGGCGTTCCTCTTCGGATTCTTGCGGACACCAATTCGGGAGGTTTGGGGTTTATAGGGTTGAGGGCTTAGGCCCACCCACCCAACCCCCCCCTCCCGCCCCCCCCCCCAATCCGAATTATTCCCAACAAAGCATACCAGGCCATGATCGGATTCTGTAGGACATAGAGTCCCACACAAACCCTAAACCCTAAACCCTAAACCCTAAACCCTAGACCGTAAACCCTAAACCCTAAACCCTAAACCCTAAACCCTAAACCCTAAACCCTAAACCCTAAACCCTAAACCCTAAACCCTCCTGACAGATTCTCTCATGGCGCCTTGGTCGAGGCCCTGGTCTTCAGGGAAGGGTCGAAGCCCTGGCAAATGGAGGAGGTGTAGGGGGGTTTAGGGTTTAGGGTTTAGGGTTTAGAGTTTAGTGGCTTAGGGATTTGGGGTGTAGGGGCTTAGGGTTTAGTGGGTTTAGCGGCTTGGGATTTTAGCGTTTGGGGGGTTTGGGGCTTCTGGAGGCTTAGGGGTTTCGGGCTTAGGGGGCTTCTCGGGGTTTTGGGGTTTACGGGTTTGGGGTATCGGGGCTTGGGGGTTCAGGGTTCCAGGCCATGGGGTATTCTGCCCGACTCCCTGCACGCCCTAAACCAGCTAAACCACTAAACCCTTCCAGACGACGAGTCGGGGTTTCCTGACAGCATCCACACGTGCCTCATTCCCTAACTTTGAACCATACGACCTCAAACCCTAAACCCTAAACCCTAAACCCTAAACCCTAAACCCTAAACCCTAAACCCTAAAACCCTAAACCCTAAACCCTAAACCCTAAACTCTAACCCTAAACCCTCAACCCAACTCCAAGCCTTGCCTTGGCCTGTGGCGAAGCCTTGCAGGCGAGGGTCCTCCAAGGCATCCGCGAGATAAGGCGAGGTGTCGGGGGAGGCAGGAGGTTTAGGGTTTAGGGTTTAGGGTTTAGGGTTTAGGGTTTAGGGTTTAGGGTTTAGGGTTTAGGGTTTAGGGTTTAGGGTTTAGGGTCTCGGGGCGAAGCGAGGAGGGAACCCCAAACTCCATGAACTCTGTCAGGCCTGGGTTCAAAACCAAAGCCTTGAAGCCTATAAGCCCCCAACCCCAAACCCTGAAACCCGAAACCCTAAAACTCTAAACCCTCAAACCCTAAACCCGAAAGCCTAAGCCACCTTTGACAACCCCAAAACCCTAAACCCTACAATAAACTCGGCGCCCCAACGGGCTACCGTAAACCCTAAACCCTAAACCCTAAACCCTAAACCCTAAACCCTAAACCCTAAACCCTAAACCCTAAACCCTAAACCCTAAACTAGCCCGAAACCCTAAACCCTACCCCCCAAACCCTAAACCCTAAACCCTACACCCTTCGAGTCCTCGAACGGGCTCCCTCCGAGGATGGCGTCCCTGAGGTGGTCGTTGAAGGAGGCGATGCCCGTACCGGCCTCTTCCGTGTCCAGCCACCCTAAACCCTAAACCCTAAACCCTAAACCCTAAACCCGAAATCCTAAACCCTAAACCCTAAACCCGGATGGGCTATTGTACCCTATAATCCCTTAAAAGGCCCTTCATAGGGTTCATTGTGAGGATTTCAAGGCCTTATAGCCCATGCTTGTACCCCCGAAACTACGCACCCGGAACTGGGCGGGTTTCGGGTACAGGCTCAGCCCTAAACCCTAAACCCTAATGTGGGGTTTAGGGCTTAATTTATAAGGGCTAGAGTCGGAATATCCCTACACTGTATGTATTCCCCTAAGCCCTCACGCGAAGCAAGAAACCCGAACCAGATTCTGCGCAGGTTAGCGAGTTACATGGTCCCTGGACGTGGGCCCTTAGCTAGGAACCCTTATATAGCCTGTAAAACAAAAGGGCCTAAACTTCAGAACCGTTCAAAGAAGGGAAGGGACAATATTAAGCGACAATGCAAGTACCCTTGGGAGGATTAAAACGTCAGGACCTTGGGATTTTCGCCTTGAACACAAAACCTTCACCCCTTGGGTTGGGGTTTAAGGGGTTAGGGTTTCGGGTTTACGCGTTAAGGGTTAAGGGTGCATAATCCCTTCCCCTCTTACCCCCCCCCCCCCAAATCCCGAAATAGGGCTTAAAAGGCGGGGTCGGCTTCGGCAGGATTTTCCGGAAAGTGTTTTATAGTTTGGGGGGGGGGGGGGTGTTTAATACAAGGGGGAAGGGATTACTGATTACTTGGTAGCCCAGTAACCATGTTATAATAAGGTGACAAAAATTTGAGGTTGGCGTCTTTCTCAGGAAACCTTGAACCAAAGAAAAGGGGAGAAGGGTACCTTTTGCCAAGAGCCTAAACCCCCAAACGGCCAAAGTCCTAAGCCTTCGACTCGGCTTGCAAACCCTATAAACCCCTAACCCTGAACCTTCAACTAGGCTTATACCTGGACCCCCAAAGACTCCAAAAGTGTCTAAATTTTGGACATGTTGATATATTTTGGGAGTCAGGTAAAACCTATAATCCTCCAAACAATCCTGAGCCCAAATATTTGTTAAAACCTATACACCTCCAAACAATCCTGGAACCCAAAATCCGCCCTAAACCCTAAACCCTAAACCCTAAACCCTAAACCCTAAACCCTAAACCCAACGTCGCGCCAGGGACCCGGCCAGGAAGCGCTGGCAGCCGGTGGGGCCCCGCGCCCCACCGGCCACTTCGCCGAACTCCCAGCCTTGAGACCAGCTCCCAGGGCTTTGGGGTTTAGGGGTTTAGGGTTTAGGGTTTAGGGGTTTAGGGTGTAGGGCTTCGGGTTCTTGTAGGATACCGCACGAGGATTCTTAAGGCTCTAGGCTTGTAAGCTGCTCTACGCGCATTTTTCAGGTAACCAAAGGATGAAAAGATTGAACCCTAAACCCTCGACCCTACACCCTTTAAGGGGTTGAAGGGGGTGGGCATCCTTCATGGTAGCCCGCATCACTTTCACCAACCGCAAAGAAACGTGTAGGGGCATGGTAGGGGAACCTTCGGCCCTGAACCTAGGGATTAGGGTCTACCGGGTTTCTAGGCTACTTGTAGGGCATATGTAGGGTTTATAGGGCTTGCAGGGTTTGCAGGGTTTATAGGGTTTATGGCGTTTATCGGGTTTAGGGGTCAGGTTTCTTTTGCTGAGCTCTTGGGGTGTTACCTTGAGCCCCCTGTACTCGGAACCTTCGGACTCGCGCCACTCTGTTAGGGTTTAGGGTTTAGGGTTTAGGGTTTAGGGTTTTGCCCAAAACCCTAAGCCCGAAACCCTAAACCCTCAACCCTAGACCTCGAACACCCCCAAACCCTAAGACTCTGAACCCTGTACATGATGAAGATTGCAAAAGCACTCGTCTGGCCACTCTAAACCTCAGACCTTAAACTCTTAACCCTAACAACCCTAAGAACAAAACATGAAAACCCTAAAACCCCCCAAAACCTGCAAACCCAACAAACCCTTAAACCCTATAAACCCTGTAAACTAAAATCCATAAACCCTATAAACCCGAAAGTTTAAACCCCAACCCCTTCCCCCCCCCTCCCACCTTCGCCATAGAGAAGCAACCTGCAGAGCTATTCAGAGCGAGGGTTTGGGTTTAGGGTCTAGGGTTTGCCCACTACCGTTTAGGGGAGCCTGCCCCCGAATTAAGGAATATACCTCTTGGTGGTTAGGGTTTCGGGTTCGGGGTTTAGGACTAAGGACTATACCTCTTCGGGTTTAAGGTTGGGGGTTTACCTGAATTTACCACTTGGGATTTAGGGTTTGGGGTTTGGGGCTTCGGGTTCAGGCGGCCCCTGAAACCGGATACCTCTTGAGGTTTGAGGTTTGGGGTTTAGGGTGAAGGCAGTCTTGCTGCAAAGAAGGCGTCTTCCCCTGAAGCCCTCTCAAGCCCCCGAAAGCTCTGCCACCTGGTTTGGGTGCATTCTGTCTTGGGACTGGAACTTCGGGAACTGGCCATGCAGGTTGCTGTTCTGAGTGCCAGGGTGCATTCTTTTTCTGGAGGATATTGGGGACCCTAAATCGTAAAACCCTCCCTGAAACCCCAAACCCCAAACCCCAAACCCCAAACCCCAAACCCCAAACCCCAAACCCTAAACAATAAACCCGAAACCCGGAAAGCCCTCTTCCGGTGGCTTGAAGTGGCTTGAAGGCCTAGTCCCCTCGCGCAATATGAACTCCCATGGACCCTAAACCTCGTCGTAGACCGCAAACGAATAAAGAAATATATACATAAATATAAATGAATATCTATATATATATATATATTTATTTATTTATATGTTTATATATACAGATATACACCCACATATTAGAGAGAACCCTAAACCACAGCTATTGCCAACTGCAGATATTCCAGAGCTGGGGCGGTAGAGTCTTTCCGGAACATTCATTAGAAGGGAGATAAACGCAAAACTCGAAGGCCTTGTGGCCGAAGGGCTAAACCCTTCTAACTGAATCCCTAAGCCCTTGAACCCGAACCCCTCAAGCCCTTAAAGCATTTGGAACCCTTAAAACCCTTAAAGCCCCGAAAAAGCCCTCAAGGGCGCAAGCAAGCAAAAAAACCCTGGAAACCCCTTGAAAACCCCTAAAAAAACCCTAAACCCTTTAAAACCTTCAAGCCGCCCAGGGCCTCTCCCCGTCGATGCCATGTTCTGCCAGGGTCAGGCTATCTAAGGTGGCGCGGCAGCGCCTCGGTGCAGGGTTTCGGGTTTAGGGTTTAGGGTTTAGGGCTCACCTCGAAGTCATATATGGTTTAGGGATACTGAGGTAGGTTAGGGCGCCCTCTTTAGTTTATATGAAAGGATTCTGCAGGGATTATACGGGAAATAGAACTGAAAACTATGTTCATGGCTGCCCCTGGATAGGGCTTCTGGGGTACGTAAAGCAAAAGCCCAAACTTTATAGGGCTTCGGTTCTAGGTTACCTGGGCCATTGGGTGCCCGAAACCCCGAACCCTAACCCCTAAACCCTAACCCAAAACCCGAAACCCGAATCCCTACACCTTGGTGAGTGCAGGTTTAAAATATCGGCCTCACGTGCTGGGGCAACACCGGCTCCTCAGCCATCGGTGCAAGCAGAATGCTGGGCTTGTCTTCGGCGGGGGCTAAGAGTGTAGGGTTTAGGGTTTAGGGCTTGGGATCAGTTACATGCTAAACTTAAGGGGGGTTCGTATGGGGGGAGTGGATTGTACGAGAACCATGCAAGCGTAGGATTGAGGCACTGCAGGGTACTAAACAAGCCCGCACCAACCGCTCGAACAAAAAGAAACCCATGACCCGGTTTATAAAACAGGTCTTAGGGTTTATGGTTGAGGGTTTAACCCCTAAACCCTAAACCCTAAACCCTAAACCCTAAACCCTAAACCCTAAACCCTAAACCCTAAACCCTAAACCCTAAACCCTAAACCCCCTTTACAAGGTCCACTGCGGCCCGGTCACTTCATGCACTGCAGCGCCACATGACCCATTAGGTCGAAGCGGAATCCATCCACCTTGCTGCATGGTTTTGGGGTTTAGGGATGCGGGTTTGTGGTTTGGGGTTTAGGGTTTAGGGTTTGGGGTTTTAGGGTTCAGGGTTTAGGGTTTATCTCGAGCTTTTGGGGGTTCATGGTACCTATTCACCAAGTATAACTGTACTTATAACTGTACTTATAACTGAACTTATAACTGTACTTATAGTCATATTCGGGCACTTAAGGGGCTTCTAAGTGGGTTATGAGTACAGTTCGAACTTCTCTGGTGAATAAGTACCCTCCAAGCATGGGTTGTGGGAATTAGGGTAGTGGGTGTGGGGTTTAGGGTTTTAGGGTTTAGGGTTTGGGGTTTGGGGTTTATCTAGAGCTCACTGGGCGGCGTACAACCTTCCCTCCCTCCCCCAAAAGAAGTATCGCCAAGTTGTTGGGCGGGGGAGGTTTGGACACCCCCATGAAGCTGCTTTACTGTTCAGGGAAGGTTTAGGGTTTAGGGTTTAGGATTTAGGGTTTAGGGTTTAGGGTTTAGGGTTTAGGTTTTAGGGTTTAGGGTTTAGGGTTTAGGGCTTAGGGTTTAAGGTGCCCCACACCCTAACTATCGCCAAGTTGTTGGGCGGGGGAGGTTTGGACACCCCCATGAAGCTGCTTTACTGTTCAGGGAAGGTTTAGGGTTTAGGGTTTAGGATTTAGGGTTTAGGGTTTAGGGTTTAGGGTTTAGGTTTTAGGGTTTAGGGTTTAGGGTTTAGGGCTTAGGGTTTAAGGTGCCCCACACCCTAACCCTAAACCCTAAACCCTAGACCCTAAACCCTAAACCATAAACCCTAAACCCAACAGCTCTGGGAAGACATCACGGCCCAGGCGCCCGATGCTCCACGGCCCAGCGCCGGACCATGTCGACCACCAGGCGTTCCTGGAGTTTCGTTTAGGGTTTAGGGTTTAGGGTTCAGGGTTCAGGGTTTAGGGTTTAGGGTTTAGGGTACTGGGTTTAGGGCCGTTTAGGGTTCAGGGTTTCGGGTTTAAGGTTCCTGCTGTTTCGGGCTCAAGGTGTCAGGGCCGTTCGTTGAACGCCTGTATACAACGCGCGTGTGCATTCCATCACCGACTGAGCGCTCTCATGCTGAATCTGGAACTAGAAGCTGAAACTCTGACTACAGCTACAAAGCTACAACTCTGTACCTATGCCTACGACTGCAACTATATACTACATCTATAAAGTGTGGATAGATTATATGGATTCTTGACTGGCTCCTGACACACGTACCCCGCTCGAAAATTGCAAGTAAGACTCCATCATGTACCTCTCTGTGGCCGTGTTGTTCCTCGGCAAGGAAACGGCTGAAGAGTTGGGCGGGCGTTTGAATACAACCTGGGGCTTCTGGCGGTTAAACCCTAAACCCTAAACCCTACACCCTAAACCCTAAACCCTAAGCCCTAAACCCTAAACCCTAAACCCAGCGGAGGTGACGGCCGAGAAGCATGCAAGTGGAGTGCTCAACGCGCCCGTCTTCGCTGCGGCGCAGGTAGTAGCCCGGCACACACTTGTCCAGAACGCTGCGGCTGGATTCGGGCCCGCTTGCCAAGACCTGGATGCGGGGATCAGCCCTAGCTCATTCTCTATCCTGTTTGCTTAAGAAGCCCCGACTTTTTCGAGCTTACTGTAACAGAATCACCTCCATTGTATATCTGTATAAACGCAGAATAGAACGAATCTTGAGAAACCCCAAACTCTATACCCCCCTGCCCCCTCCGCCCCACATGGTTGAAGACCACGTCGGCCACCACACGCAGTCCCTTCCGGTGTAGAGCTGCAACCATCCGCCGATGCTCCTCAACCCGCGCCAGGCCATCTGGAGCAAGGCGGTTCAGGGTTTAGGGTTGAAGGTTTTGGGGCAGCTGGACCCTAAACCCTTAGCTCCAAACCCTACATCTGTAAACCTTAAACCTTCAAAAGCGGAGGGACAACCTTAAACCGTAAACCCTAAACCCTAAACCCTAAGCCCTAAACCCTAAACCCTGAATCTCCGAGCCCACCTGGGTTCGTGGCATAGGAACCCTCCGGTACGCCGTACAGCACAGGGTCGTAGCCCCAGTTGAAGGAATCGCGGTCCTCGGGGACGATCGATGAACCCTTAAAGGGCCAAAACCCGAAACCGGGTTGCATGCACCCTGAACCCTGAACCCTGAACCCTGAACCCTGAACCCTGAACCCTGAACCGTAAACCCTGAACCCCAAAACCCAAAACCCAAAACCCTAAACCCCTTAAGAGGGCTCAGGTTTATCTCCCAAGGGTCGGCCACGCTCATCACCGCGGCCTGCTGCTCCTCGGAGTCGGGTGCAGCGTGTTCCTGAAGGCGGTTTTGCGCTCGTGTTGAGGTTTAGTGGTTAGGGGTTAGGGGTTAGGGTTTAGGGTTTAGGGTTTGGGGTTTAGGGTTTAGGGTTTCGGGTTTGGGGTTTGGGTTTTGGTGTTTGGAGTTTGGGGTTCAGGGTGCACTGTTGGGTTTAGGATTGACACGCTTTAGGATTACAAGGTTTAGGGCATAAGGTGTAATTAGTTGGTATTCTGGTTCGTGGCACCCCTCCCTCAGATTTGAATCCGTCGCCGCACCAGTGGTTTAGGGTTTATGGGGTTGGGCTTGGGGGACCACAGCTGTTCACGGACTGCAGAGCGCCTATTGCAATAGGGATCCAACGAAGCCCTCAACCCTGTGCGTCATCTGATTCGTGCCTTCTCCTTTGTCTGTTAGGCTTTAGGGTTGAGGGTTTAAGGTTTAGGGGCTTGGCCCAGATCTGTTAAACACAAAAACAACGAGACGAAGGAACTTGCCGATGCTTCTCGTAAACGGAAGCCTTGCAAGAACAGCCGCAACCCAATCGACTGCTTTGCATACTTGCCTCTGTCCTCTGCAAACACATCATCGCCTTGTTCCCCCTTACTCCAACAGTCCTAAACCCTAAACCCTAAACCCTAAACCCTAAACCCTAAACCCTAAACCCTAAACCCTAAACCCTAAACCCTAAGTACAAGAGGGGAGAACATCCCAAGCCTTGTCTCAAGCCCGACGGCGCCTAAAGACCATCCCTCCCCAGAGCCTAAACCCTAAACCCACGTTTTTCCGGCAGGGGGGGGGGGGGTGGGGGGGGGTGGGGGGGGGGTGGGGGTGGGGGGGGTGGGGGGGGGGGGGGGGGCGGGGGTGGGGGGGGGGGGGGCCATTGGCATCCTCAGACCCAGAGAGGCCCTAAAACCATCCAAACCCTAAACCCTAAACCCTAAAACCTAACCCAAACCCTCAGTACAAGAGGGGAGAACTTGTCTCAAGCCCGACGGCGCTAAAGACCAATCCCTCCCCAGAGCCAACAAACCCACGTTTTTCCGGTGGGGGTGGGGGGGGGGGGGTGGGGGTGGGGGGGGGGGTGGGGGGGGGGGCGGGGGTGGGGGGGGGGGCGGGGTGGGGGGGGGGGGGGCGCCATTGGCATCCTCAGACCCAGAGAGGGTTAAATTATCCAAACCCTAAACCCTAAACCTAAACCCTAAACCCTAAACCCTAAACCCTAAACCCTAAACCCTAAACCCTAAACCCTAAACCCTAAACCCTAAACCCTAAACCCAAACCCTAAACCCAAACCCTAAACCCTAAACCCTAAACCCTCCATCCCTCAACCCAGCGGCGTTCACCCGCGGCTCGCTGCGGTCGGCCACGCGCTCGGGAACCGAGCCGAAGTCGTAGGTGGGCAGCCTCGGGTTTAGGGTTTAGGGTTTCCGTTTTTCTTTGCGTCATGTTCCTAGAAGGTCCATCTGTGGTAGTATTCTGAGAATTAAGGTGTTTCAGGGCTGAGGGCTTGGTGTAACGTTTATGTATAGTAGGCACATGAAGAAGGAGGAGGGGAATTGTGGTTTAGGTAGGGCGTTTAGGGTAGTTTAGGGTTTAGATATTCGGGCTTAGGGTTAGGGTCTCCCACCCACCCCAGCGACAGGGCCCTAAAACTTCTTTTTGGGGCTTCCGATCTCAGAAGCACGCAAAGCGTAAACTCTTCAACAGCAGCCAGGCAGCAGATGCACGTGCGTAAGGCCAGCATCGGCGAGGCGGCGCAAATGGAGATCTCCTTGGCGCGTAAACCCTAAACCCTAAACCCTCAACCCTAGACCCGGTGCGGTAGGGCTGGGAGGATATAAGAACGCTTAAGTCAAGACTCTGGGGTGTGGAGAAGGTTTAACGTTTGCCGCCCGAGCGGGAGAAGGCCATCCGGCGCGCGCACACACACACACACACATACACATACACAAATACAAACACAAACACAAACACAAACACATACACATACACATACACATGCACATGCACATGCACATGCACATGCACATGCACATGCACATACACATGCATGTATGTATGTAAGTATGTATGTATATATATATATGCTAAATGTGCTGCTGCTTGAGTCAGAAGTGTCAACAAGCTGCTTTGAATGCTGCCAGCGACGATGCATAACCATTTGTTGCTTGTTGATGGAGCACGAGCTTTGCTCAAGACTCAAGCAAGCCAGGCATGTGGCAGCTGCTCGCAGGCCGTGCATGTCTTCTTAAGGAAGGATCCTACAGCTCTACTGTTTCATGCTCTGAAACACCTACTAGCTACGTGTTTCTTGGAAAACCTCGACTCACTTGGCGGGGGTTGGGTTCCAGAGTTTCATGCCTCTGCCTGGTGCTGTCGATGTTGCAGTGCAATGCTGCAATGTACGCGTTTCGTAGCAAAGCGGCCAGCGGCCAAGACGACCACTTTCTTTCATGTCAAGATTTTCTGAACAAACTCTAACCCTAACCCTAAACTCCCCTCTCCCTCATTCTCTCTCTCTCTCGCTCTCGCTCTCTCTCTCCCTCTCCCTCTCCCTCTCTCTCTCTCTCTCTCTCTTTTTCTTTCCTGACAGTCCAAACCCTGAACCCCTTCCCATGAGGCGAGAGGCCGCTGGTGCCCTCCTGTTCAAATGCGAGGTACTTTCCTCGGAGGGCTGGCTCCACCTGTCACGCAGGGCATAGGTTTTGTCTTCGGGAGGTACATGACCCTGAAAATCACTTCTAAATCTATACAGGAATCCTAAACAATCCCAGAAAGACCTTTAGATCACCCTAAACACTAAACCCTAAACCCTAGACCCTAGACCCTAGACCCTAAACACTTCAGGAATGGAGCACCGTCGGATCCCTGGCGCTGAAGTCGCGGACGTGCAGCTCGTAAATCACCTCCGCGGCTGGAGGTCAGTCTGAGAAGCAGCGAGCACCCCTTTGTCTCAGGGTTTAGGGTTTAGGGTTTAGGGTTTAGGGTTTAGGGTACCCTGAACCCTGGCCCGAAAACCTGCCACCAAATAGTAAAGACCAATGAAGCTGTAGGTAAACAGAGCCCGGTTTAGGGTTTAGGGTGTATACTAGATGGTTCACAGCCTACACTCTTGTTCAGACGTTTAGCTATAAACGCTAAACCCTAAACCCTAAACCCTAAACCCTAATCCCTAATCCCTAAACCCGGGCTCCCTCAGCTTTCTTAAGGTTACCTAGGTACCTCCCCACACTTAGAGCCCCTCCCCTTAGGGTTTAGGGTTTTCCTGTGCTTAAGCGTGTTGGCCTTTTGCTGCTGCAATGACCTGTGTTTAGGGTTTAGGGCTTAGGGCTTAGGACTTAGGGTTTAGGAGACATTCAAAAAACCGGAGTGCCAACAAAGCCCAACGAGTGGCCGCGTCCGCTCGGTGGTCCAGCTGCGGAACCTCTTCCGGGCCCAGCTCCTAGGCAAAGAGAACAAGCCCCTGCATCGTAAGCCCTAAACCATAAGACCTAGACCCTACATCCTAAATCCTAAACCCTAAACCCTAAACCCTAAACCCCAAGTCCTAAACCCTAAACCCGAAAGCCTAAACCCTAAACCCTACATCCTGAGAGTTGGTAGGGTGTTTAGTTTTGCCGTCTTTGCATGCGGCTCGTATGGGTTTACTTGCCGGACGGTCCGGTTGCAGTACCTTTATGGCATCAGGTACCAAAAGGCATCTGGGTACCAAACTCCATACTAGGGTTAGTGAACCCTCCGGGACTTTTTTGGGCTTGACAAGTTTAGGGTTCGCACGCAATGACAGCACAGATCACGAACATCTCGGCGTGAGGGTTTGCAGCCCAAGGGCGTAAGGACTTAGCTTGGCCAGGCCAAGATCAAGCCCATACTCTAAACCCTAAACCCTACAAACCTCAGGAAGTAGTGGGGAGTATTAGGTGTAATTATAGGGCCTTAAGAATTAGAATAGGGGTTTTGGGGGGCTATTCTAGCAAATTTTTAGAATTAATTCCGGTCTTTCCAATTCATAAATACTATAAAAGAAATCAGCATTATACTAAATTCGTTCAATTAATTGAACATATTCTAATTCAATTTCTTCATTTTTAATACCTAAATTAATATGAAAATCTTCGTTACCATAATTATATATTTCAACAAATACAATCATTGATATATCATAAACTATTGTTCCATTTTTATTGAATTCTTAGGCAGACAGTTGCGGTAAACGAAAATAGAGTATACATATACATATATATATATATATACATATACATATACACATATATATATGTATATTGTACATATATATATATATACATATACATATGTATAAATATACACATATCCATATATATATATATATATACACAGCCGAGACACCCAGGGCGGCAAATGGCAGATCAAGGAGCGGCCCGCGTCCGCGGAGCAGGCGTGGGAATAGGGATCGGGGGTCTCCATTGTCCTGAGCTGTAGGGTTTAGGGTTTAGGGTTTAGGGTTTAGGGTTTAGGGTTTAGGGTTTAGGGTTTAGGGTTTAGGGATAACCCTAAACCCTGAACCCTAATTCAACCCGAATTCGGCCCTAAACCCTAAACTCCTAAACCGTACACCCTTAAGCCCCTTACAGCATCGTGATGGGATTTGTGGCTTTGTGCTTTAGGGCCTATATGGTTTTGGGCGAGTGGGCTTAAGGTTTTGGGGTGAACAGCTTCCCTCATCAAGACAGAAGGGAAGCTAAAACCCTAAACAGCCTTGCAGTTCAAGAATGAAGGTAAATTAACAACCAAAACCCAAAAGCCCAGGGTCTCGATGTTGCCCGTGGTGGGATGGTAGGCTCGTATCCTTCAGGCGCGAGCTGTTGAGGGCACGGGGGGAGGAACCGCTTGCTTGGAGGACCGGGGCCCCTTCTTGGGTATTTATAACTCTCCGGATACCCCAAGTAGGGTGCAAGGATGGAAGGCATGGGGCGTTCAGTTCTCCGAATATTCATATAGGTGGGGGTCCAGGCGTTGGGTTTGCGTTCTCCTTGCGTGCAAATTTAGTGCTCGGTCAGGGCTTCTTTTGCTAGCATCCCCACTAGGACACCCAATACGACGCACTCAGCAAAAGCATGTAAAAAAAGGGAACCATCTACAGAATGATATGTGAATATATGTTCCTATGTAGATACACATTTACATACACTCACCAAGAACAGCAGGATCGACTCTACCTGCTGCTTGCACCCTCAGAACTTCAAACGGCTGATGATGCCATGATCCGCTAGTTCAGCCTCGAGGAACCCATTCTAGGGTGTAAGAGGTAAGACTCTATAGGGTCTAGGGTTAAGGGTTTAGGGTTTTAGGGTTTAGGGTTTGGGGTTTAGGGTTTGGGGTTTAGGGTTATACCCTGAACCCACAACCCTTGCAACCCCTGTCAATTCGGCAGCCTGTAGGTATAGTATCTCCCCCGCCAGACGTGGGGGCCCAGAAGACGCCAGACACCATCCGGACCGCAGGTCCTCAGAGGCGAAACAAAGAAGAGGGCTTCAGGGTTTGGGCTGGATCCTACACCTTAGTAGCCCAGTAGCCATAATATGATAAGGGCACCCGGACCCTTTTTTGAGTTGGTTACTTTGTAAGGGAACCCCTAACCAAAAAAAGGGTAAATGGGTGCCACTGGGCTACTAAGACCTGGCCGAAACAATGCACAACTCACCCTGACATTTTAGGAATTATCTTGTGTAGGCTCCCGCATAAGACTAGCCAGTCTCTGGAAAGCTACGAGGGCCCCCAGTATAGGGTTCAGGGTGAAGGGCCCGCAGTTGAAACGGCCAGTCTCCTTAAACACAAACCATACCCCGACACCTTAAAAATTTAGAAGCCCTCACAAGCCGAATCTATATTGTCAACACTTCAAAGCCTTGTAAAGCCCTTTTATCACTGCCCAACCAAGACCCAGAGACACTAATTAGATTGAATGAAGTGGCCTAGACCATACACTCTAAACCCTGAACTCTTAAACTAGGGGTTTAGGGTTTTAGCGTTTGACTAAACCCTAAACCCTAAACCCTAAACCCTAAACTCTAAACCCCAAACCCAAAACCCCAAACCCCAAACCCCAAACCCCAAACCCCAAACCCTAAACCCTAAACCCTAAACCCCTGCCAGCCGAGCTGCATGCCGTGAGCCGTGGCCCCGCGTTCAACTTCGGGGCCTTCGTACAGCAGCCTTTGTCAAAGGGGCTCCACGTGGCCCAAATTTAGGGTTTAGGGTTTGGGGTTTAAGGCTTAGGGTTTATAGGGTTTAGGGTTTAATTTAGGGATTAGAGTCAGGAAGGTCAGGAGGGGGCGGGGGGTGGGGGGGGGGGTGGGCCACCCCCCGCCCCTCCCCTCCACCCCCCACCCCTGAGTGGAGGGGTGGAGCAACGGGGGTGCACTGCGCGAACCGCAAGCCTTCTGACACGAACCGACGCACAACCGGTTCTCGCAGGATCCGCCGAAGCGAAACGATACTAACCGAACAGTAGGGGTTTAGGGTTTGGGATTTGGGGTTCAGTTCAGGGTGCAGAGCCCAAAGCCCTGACCCTAGCGTCTAAAATAAACTAAATCTAACGTTACCGTAGCCCTAAACCCTAAACCCTAGACGTCAATCCCTTCCCCCGAATACTAAAACCCCCCCCCCCCCCCCCAAATTATAAATATCATTTTTTCCCGGACCCTGCCGGCACCCAGCCCAATACTAAACCTGTTTGAGAATTGAGGGGGGGGGGGGGGGGTTCAGGGCCTTCGCCCTTGAGTTGAGGGTTTAGGGCTGAAGGCTGACAGGATTAGGATTCAGGGCTCGGGGCTTAGGGTTTAGGATTGAAGGTAGGTTTTAGGATTTAGACCCCCCCCCCCCCAATTATAAATATTTTTCGGGCCTAGGCGAATTTCAGAATTTGGGGGGGGGGGGGGGGGGGGGAGGGATTTAGTATCACTTGGGAAACCCTAAACCCTAAACCCTGAACCCTGACTCCTAAACCCTAAACCCTAAACCCTAAACCCTAAACCCTAAACCCTAAACGCCAAGAAACACGTCCACCTCCTGAGCTGTGGGCGCCCACAGGGAGAGCTCGAAGCCCTCCTCGTGGGGGCTGCAACCCAAGGGTCCATCGTAGCGGAAGCACCTGGGTGATTGAGGGGGTTTAGGGTTTAGGGTTTAGGGTTTAGGGTTTAGGGTTTAGGGTTTAGGGTTTAGGGTTTGGGGTTTAGGACCCTGAAACCCTGAAACCCTGAAACCTAAACCTTACATCCTGAACCCTAAACCCTAAACCCCACACCCTAAACCCTAAAGCCTAAAGCCCTTCTAAACCTTGGACTGGACAAGGCACGCATCGAGTAGACCACCAATCTGCACGCCCGTGCAGTCGACAGTGGAGTCGCCTTTGCTTCGAAGGAGTTCATGGTTTAGGGGTTATTAGGTTTAGGGATTAGGGATTAGGGATTAGGGTTTAGGGTTTAGGGTTTCGGGATTGGGCCATTGAGGATTTTAAGCTTTAAGGCCATTTCTTGTATGGGGTTGCATAACACTGGGATTGATTTGGATTTGGGCCCTGCTCCCGATCGAGCCATGACTGGCCCATAGAAGCTACAGTAATGGTTAAAGACGGATACTTCCGTAGACCTCCTATTCTTGAAGTGCTTACCTAAAGGCTCCTATGTAGTACCTTTATGGGTTACAGTAGTTAGTTACTATAAGCCCCTATCTGTAAACCAAAAAGGAACTACAATAAAGCCTTCAGGTAGGGCTAGAGAGGACTCTCATTAACCCCAAACCCTAAACCCGATATACACCCCCCCCCCCCCCCACGCCCCCACGCCGAGCAGAGGCCTGGGCGGCCCTTAACACCTACCCCAAAACCCTGAAGCCCCTAACAAAAACTAAAACAAAAAACGCTAAAGCTCCTATAGCCCAAAAGCGGAAAACTGGACCCTAAAACCGTGGTCAATCCTCGGCAGGGGGGGGGGGGGGGGAGAGCGGATTCAACCCTAATTAAGCCAAAACCCAAGCCCTACTCCCTGAGCCCTCAACCCTAAACCCCAAAACCCTAAACCCTAAACCCTAAGCCACCCTAACCCCTTGGAAGATCTACTATCGGTCCGCGCAACCTCGGTGCGCTGACACGGCCAGCTGCTGGCGACAGAGGCGGTCGAAAGCCTCACCCGCCCGAACACCCCGCAGCCTAAGTGTAGGGGCGTAGGGTTTGGAAGAAATGCTGGTGAGATAAAACCCTAACCCTACATATGAAACCTAAACCCCAAAGCCCCCGAAGACAATCCTGTAAGTCCTGTAGACCCTGCTACGCACAACATAGACCCTGCCATATGATGGACCCTCAACCCCGAACTCCAAACTCTCAGGCCCTAAACACTAATGTTAACGTCCCATTTATAAATGGAGTGGTAATAGTAATATTCGCCGGGGGAGGTTTTCGGGCCGATGTATGTAAACAAGTCTATATAGGGGGGTCCGGTGATAATAATAATGGGGTGGTAATTGTAAAATTTTTCCGGCCAGGAATTGAAAATTTTACTGAAAATGGCTTTAGAGTTCCATTGCAGAGAAGACTTTTCAGCTGAGCTGGCTTGAAAGAGCTCCGAGGCTCAGTCTTTAGAGAAGCAGACCCTGACAGCCGACCAGCCCCAGACCCCCAGACCCCAGACCCCCAGAATCCGCATTATTGACACCCCCTCTTTTTTTTTCCACCCCTCCAAACCCCGGGGACCAAAACAAGATTTGAGGGGGGGGGGGGGGGTTATTAAAGGGACCCTAACATTAAACCCTAAACACCCTAAGCCCCAAACCCTAAACCTCGAAACTCTACACCCTTAAACACCAAACACCCCAAACCACCCCTAGACCCAAGGGTAGTTACCCTTTTGAGTTCAAGGGCAAAGAAAAGGAATCTAAACCACCAAAAAAGGGAATAAGGACCTACTCTGGGTCCTAGCCCTAAACCCTAAACCCGAAACCCTAAACACCCCAAACTCCCCCAAACCTGCCGGGCCCCCGGCCGCGGCCGGGACAGGAGGAAGACGGAGGAGGCCACAGCCCTGGCAAAAATGGGGGGTTCAGGTGTTTAGGGTTTAGGGCTAGGGTTTAGGGTTTAGGGCATAGGGTTTAGGGTTTGGGGTTCAGGGTTTGGGGTTTAGGGTTTGGGGTTTGGGGTTTAGGGTTTGGGTGTTGGGTTTAAGGGTGTGGAATTTTAGGGTTTGCGGTTTGGGGCTTAGGGTTTGGGGTTTAGGGTTTGAGAGTTGAAGGTTTGGGAGTTGAGGAGGCTCGGGGTTTAGTTGGGGATTTTCGGAGCTCTAGCGCCGACCCAAGAGGCCGCAAACCACAGAGAGCCAACCATCCCATCGGCTGGGGGGTTGGGGGCTTGAGGAAGGGGAAAGGGGTTTAGGGTTTAGGGTTTAGGGTTTAGGGTTTAGGGTTTAGGGTTTAGGGTTTAGGGTTTAGGGTTCTCCCCTGCACCATCCAAACGCGCCGCCCAGGCCTCCCAAGCCCTCAATGCTACTCAATGTCTCAACCCCTAACCCCTAAACCCCGAAACCCCTCATAGAGGTTCCCCCTAAACCCTAAACCCTAAAACGCTACACCCCCCCCCCCCCCCCAAAAAAAAAAAAAAGAGAGAGGCTTGGATAGGGGTCTACCCTCCGCTATAGCACATGGACTCAAGGGATGAAGACTCGTAACCCCGAAGGTTGTGCCCCTAAAGGGTTCCCGTTCATATACTCCTAATGTGGCCCATATACCCTAAACCCTAAACCCTAAACCCTAAATATATACCCTATGTAGCCTCTAAAACACCCCCCAAAGAACCCCCCAAGGTCCCTTACAAGGGTCCCCTTTAGTCCCCAAACCCTAAACCCTAAACCCGAAACCGTAAACCGTAAACCCTAAACCTTAAACTTTAAGGGTCCAGGGTATATACGACTGGGCCCCAGATGGACTCTGAGAAAAGACTTCAGAAGCTGTCCGTGAGCCCAGGCCATGTCCAGGGCCGACTTGACGGCAGATTTAGGGTTCAGGGTTTAGGGTTTATAGGGTTTAGGGCTAGCACCGAGCATCGTCACGTAGGCCAGGGGATTTCTGAACCCCGAACACTCCTCTCAGTTTGGCCGAGACTTGCCGGCATTGATACTGAACCTTCTGGTCAAAACCGACGCCCAGTAAACCTTTCAACCCTAAACCCCTAAACCCTAAACCCCCAAACCCCAAACCCCAAACCCCAAACCCCAAACCCCAAACCGCAGAGCAAGAACAGACCGCAAGCTCCCCAAAGCCCCGCCCCCCCTGCATCGAACTCCACACCCCGAAGGCCCAAGCCCCTAAATCCTGCAACGTCGTAAAAAGGTTTAGGGTTTAGGGTTTAGGGTTTAGGGTTTAGGGTTTAGGGTTTAGGGTTTAGGGTTTAGGGTTTAGGGTTTAGGGTAAACTGCTGGGAGTTCAGGTCATGGTTACCTTAAGAGCCCCACACCTACGTTTTTGTAGGCTACCTCAGAACCCTTTTAGAGGTGTTAGAGTAAGAACCTGCAGAAATCCAGACTTTTGGGTTCTTAGGGTGGCGTTCAGGGACCTCATCAGATGGGTAGTTCTCTAGATTAGGGTCTCTTTCTGGGAGCCCTTTTTAAAGAGTGCCGCCTTACCATGGGTACCCACAAAGAGACCCTAACTTGCCCTACGCCCTAAACCCTAAACTTTGGACCCTAAAGATTTAAACTCTAGACCCTAAACTTAAAACCCCAATCCCTAGGGTTGAGGGTTTAGGGCTTAGGGTCTTTAAACCCTGATTTGGGAACCTGCCCAGAAGGCGCCTGAAGATAGGGGTTCCCTTCGAACACCTTCTCTTCTTCTGGGGTCGGCGAGGTCACCTGGGAAGGTTTAGGGTTTAGGGTTCAGGGTGTAGGGTTTAGGGCTTGCTGGGTTGAATCATAAGCAGAGAGGTTGGAGGGCGAGCGGGCATTTTTTTGGTTAAAGGGTTTAGGGCTTAGGGGTTTTAAGGTTTAAGAGTTTGGGTTGTACAAGAATGACCAGCCCCCGTGAACTCTTTGGAAAATTACAAGGTTCCAATAAACCCTAAACCCTAAACACAAAACCCTAAACCCTAAACCCTAAACCCGAAACCCGAAACCCTACAAGCCACCTTCAAAGCTATACCCAACACATGTTGCTCTAGATGACTCTAAACATACCCGCCATGCCCAGAAACAAGCGCTAACAAAGTTACGACAAAAGAAAACACCACATGAGTCCCACGGCCCTTCACAAAGTGCCCTGAACCGTGAGTCCTGAAGGCTAGCTAAAACCTCCCACACAGCTCGGACAGCGGGGATTTCTTGTCAATACAGGAGATAGATATAGATAGATATACAAAGAGATATCTGAACATTGACACATGAGAGATCCCCAAATAGTCGGATTCCCTATAGTAAGGACCCACCCCCCCCCCCCCCCCCCCCCCCCCAGATTGATTTCAAGAAACGATTTCGTTGATCAGGGAGCCTAAACCCTAAACCCTAAACACTAAACCCTGAAGCCTTAAACCCTAAACCCTAATCGGGCTTAGGCCTAGGCCAAACGCCCTACGTCAGCAGTTTCCCGCCTCGAGGTCGAAAACATCGTCGGCCTGGAGTCTGCGACCCTAAGCCCTAGTACATGGCTTAGGGTTTAGGGTTTCGGGCTAGGGTTTAGGATTTAGGGTTCGGGGTTCAGGGTTTAGGGTTAGGCTATCGGGGTTTAGGGTTTACTGTTTAGGGTTTAGGGCCCGAAAACCCTAAACCCTGAAGCCCTAAGCACGAAAACCGGAGACTCTAGCCCCAAAGGGTTTAGGCTTTTTGGGCGTTTAGCCCCAAAGGGTTTAGGCTTTTTGGGCTTTGAGGGTCTTTAGGCTTTAGGGCGTAGGGTTCAGAGCCGAAACACAGCTTTCCACCTGTTCGGCTGGAGAGAACGTTGCAAAGACTGCATGTGGAATGCGGTGGGTATCCAATCAGTACGCGTTCTTCCTGTCTATCCCTCTCTCTCTCTCGCTTTTTCTTTCTCTCTTTCTTTCTCTTTATTAGCATTCTCTCCCTCTCTCTCACTCTCTCCCTCTCCGTCACTCTCTCACTCTCTCTGCGGCTGGTTGTGGCTCCGGTATTATGCACTTTGGGAGACACAGCAGGAGTGCGTCCTGCTGTTCCTGGCTCCCTTTTCTGGAGCCTTTGGGGTCCTTGACCGGGAAAATTGTCTGGGGGGGACTTAATCCTAAACCCTAAGCCAAGAACTTCGGGCGGGCGGGAAGGGGGGGGGGAGCGGGACCAAACAGAACTTACAATTGGGATCACATACCCTGTTCTACTGATTCCCGTGTTAGGATATGGACCATAAACACCCTGAACTCTAAACTTTGAAAAATCTACTGGCCCCTTGTAATGTTTATATGGCAGTGGATAAAGGTACCTGTTGCCAAAGCACTCCTATACACCCGAAGAAATCAAGAGGAACCCTTATATATTTCCCAAGAAGGGCTTTTCGATCAAACCCAAAAGATACTACCCTGAATATACCCAGAATACGATCGTCCCGGTGAAAGCAACTCTGAAACAGGGTACCCCTGTTTACAGAAACCCCCGATATCGTCCCCTAAACCCTAAACCCTAAACCCTAAACCCTAAACCCTAAACCCTAAACCCTAAACCCCAAACCCTAAACCCTAAACCCTAAACCCTCAAGCTGTGGAGGTCAGAACTGCCAAGCTGCAACGCCACCACGCGCGAGGCCACCGGAAAGGCTGCCCCGCAGTTTGAAGCCTCGGGCAAGGCGAGCGTAGGGTTTAGGGTTTGGGGTTTAGGGTTTAGGGTTTAGGGTTTCGGGTTTAGGGTTGTAGGGTTTAGGGTTTAGGGTTTAGGGTTTAGGGTTTAGGGTTTTGGTTTTTGGGTTTAGGGTTTCCGGGCCCACGTCTCAAGAACCCGACACCTTTCCCCTGCAGGTCATCATACGGGAGTCTGCTTCTGAGGGACGTGATTAGGCAAAGTATTATGGCTCAAGTCCAGCCGAAGAAACCCAAAACCCTGGAACCTGCAATCCCTAAAACCTAAAATCCTAAATCCTGATCCCTGAACCCCAAACCCCAAAACCCCAAACCCCAAACCCTACACCCTAAACACTAAATCCTGTGCGGCCTCCATCTCCTGCAACATGCTGAGCACCCGAACTGCATTTGTATCGGGCTTCGGACGGAAGGTTCGTCCCACGACCGACCCCGGAAACCTGACCAACACCGACTCTCCCCACAGTTTTCCTGGGACTCTTTCTACCTACAGTTGGGTTTTGGGTTTAGGGTTCAGGGTTTAGGGCGCAGGGTTGGAGGGTTTGTAGGGTTTTCCTGGGACTCTATGTACCTACAGTTTAGTAGCGAACCTTAATGAGTCCCATAAAACTGTAGTAAAGAGGGTCCCAGGTAGGGTTTATAGCGTAATGGGGCTCAGGGAACTTCCAAGCATGTGCAATGAAGCACGGGCGGAGATTTCTCGAGGGAAAGGTTGGAAATTCCAAGTACCTCCGCAGCACCAAAATAAACCGTAAACCTCATAAACTAACAAAGCTCTGAATCCCCAAACTATGCCCTTAAGTCTAACCCTAACCTTAGGGTTAAGGGTCAAGGCCTATTTTATCAACTGAACCCTAAACCCTAAGCCCTGAAGCCCAACCCTAAATCCGACCTGGGACTCCATCTACCTACAGTTTACTAGCAACTACCCTGAATTCGTACGTATAACCCCTAAACCCTAAACCCTAAACCCTAAACCCTAAACCCTAAACCCCAATCGACTCAAGAGTGCAGGCGCGAGACGTGTAGAAGACGGCAACGACGCAACGCTGCGCCATCTCGGGATGCACAAGGCCCCCGTGGGTTTAGGGTTTAGGGTTTAGGTTTAGGGTTTGGGGTTCAGGGTTAGGGTTTAGGGTTTAGGGTTGGGGTCCCCAGCCGTCCTTAGCTCAAAGTAGGACTGTGAGGTCCCCAAGTAAGGCTTAGGGTCTGGGAGGTTTATAGTACAGGGCTTAAGTCCCTTATCTGCTATTCCTGTACCTCTGGGGCGTGTCTCCATTCTGCCGTCGCGCATGGCAGCTCTCTACATACATTATACTATATGAAGTAGGGTATATATTTCTTGTACCGCCAAAAGGACACCAGGTATATACACTCACCAATATTAAAAAGGAACCTTATATACACTCACCAATAATAACAGTAATATATACCCTGCCTCATATACCGGAAAACCGCCTTATGTTTACGGTGGTGGTTGTCAGGAGCTCGATAGCATAGCCAGGCTGCAGAATCAGCGAGGGCAGCACCTCATGAGCACGGAATGCGAGAAGTGGGTGTCACTAAACCTCTAGACCCCAAACCCTAAAACCCTAAAACCCTAAAACCCTAAAACCTTAAAACCCCAAACCCCAAACCCCAAACCCCAAACCCCAAACCCCAAACCCTAAACCCCAAACCCGAAATCCCAACCCTAAACCCTAAAACCCAAACCCCAAACCCCAAACCCCAAACCCCAACCCCAAAACCCAAACCCCTAAACCCCTAAACCCTAAACCCCAAACCCCAAACCCTAAACCCCAAACCCTAAACCCTAAACCCCAAACCCTAAACCCCAAACCCCCAAACCCCCAAACCCCTGCATAGGACCGGGGCGCCCAGTGCGCGCGCGCACCCAGGGCGTGGAAGTCACCTTCCAGCAGCGAGCCCGGATCTGGCTCCAGGGTGCCTCTGGAAGGGTTTAGGGTTTAGGGTTTAGGGTTTAGGGTTTAGGGTTTAGGGTTTAGGGTTTAGGGTTTAGGGTTTAGGGTTTAGGGTTTAGGGTTTAGGGTTTAGGGTTTAGGGTTTAGGGTTTGGGGTTTGGGGTTTAGGGTTTAGGGTTTAGGGTTTAGGGTTTGGGGTTCAGAGTTAGGGTTGTAGTGCATGAGTTTCTGAGTTCATGCTAGAACGTTTAGCTTAGAACTTCAAGTAGGGTTTCGGAAGTGTGTAGGGTTGGTCGGGTTTTGGGTTCAGGGGTTACTGCAGGGTTTAGCGCCGTGGGCCCCTTGCATACCCTATAAAGTCAAGGGTCCATGCTTCAGACCATGCTACTACCCTAAGAAAACTAGCTGGCTTGGCGTCCGAGGTGCTTGGGCGGTCGCCATGGCCAAGCCACACAGCGCCGGCATTGAGGCAGGAGCGGAGCCTAGAGATTTTCGGTTCAGGGTAAAAACGGAGTTTAGTTTTGGGGGGTGTCAAGTGCAGGGAGTCCCCGAAAAAAGGGGATGATATTTCGGCATGAAGAAGTCAAAGTCAATCATGACTTTGGAATCTCTCGTTCAGGTTGTAGGTTTCAGGGTTGTTGCGTGTTCATGCATCCATGTGCCTTGACAAACGCAGTTCGTCGCCACGTGGTTGTCGCAATGTCGCACATGGTCGTTGTTTGTTTCGGCGGGTTTGACTCTTGCCCGGCTCGGCGCGCTTTTTTCTACGGAAAACGCTGCTGCTTTTGCTGTGATAGTGTTTTCGGTCGCGAATGCCGCATGTTCAGACAACGAGCGTGGCCTGTGGCCTGTTCGACATAGTCCCTGACTGCTTTTTTCGCCTCTCTTCACGTTTGTTGCATTTGAGTAATTCTAATGGTCTTAGTTGCTGAGTTCATTAGCCCCAAAAAAGTGTACACTATCCGTTACATAGAGATTATCGTTTCCCAAAAAGTGTAAAGTGCGCCCACTCAGCTCCTAAGTGCTTCTGGGAGTTCAGCCAAAAAGAAAGGCGGCTTTTTTTTACATCGTGTCTTCACGGTTCTTGCATTTCAGCGTTTTTGGGCTTCCCAGCCTGTGGCTTATAAATCTAGGGTTTGTACCTTGGGCCCCTAAGGTTGCAATCTTAGGTTTTGGGGGAACCTTTTTAAGGATTTGTTAGGTAGTATAAGGGCCATAAAACCCCAAACCATACACCCTAAACCCCAAACCCTAGACCCTTAACCCTAAACTCTACGGCAAGATCGCCATGGGTATGGTCTCGGCAGAGTAGCTGCTCCCAGCCCAACTCGGTCGTGCACCTCCTGGGCTTGTTTTTTGGGACTTCGGTGGGTTTAGGGTTTAGGGCTAGGGTTTAGGGCTTGGGGCTTAAAGTTCGGTTTGGGGTTTTGCGGTCTTAGGGTTTTAGGTTCTTTGTTTACGGGACTGTGGGCTGAGAGGTGTTCAAAAGGATGGCAGGCCCCGCCTGAGACTACTCCCGAACGCGCGCGCGATCCTTAGGGGTTATTCCTAAGCCAACAAACCCTAAATGCTAAGCCCTATACCCGAAACCCCTAACCCTAAACCCTGAACCCTACATCCTGAACCCTAAATCCTCAAAACGACAGGAGGGGGGGGGGGGTTCATGCGGGGTAGGTACCTAGAAGACCTTAGGGAAGCTTAGGGAACCTTAGGGAGCAGTAGGGCGTACTTGGGAAGGTTGGGTTTTATACCCCCCCTCGAACCCCCTCTCCCTTACAGAACCCTAAAAACCTAAAGTTCCTCAACACCGAAGCGGAACTCCAGCCGCCCTAAACCCTAAAACCCTCAAAAGTTAAACCCTGAAACTCTAAAACGCTTAAAAGCCCTAACAACCCTAAAAGCCCAAAAACCCTAAAACCCTCAAAAGTTTAACTCTGAAACTCTAAAACCCTTAAAAGCCCTAACAACCCTAAAAGCCTAAAAACCTAAAACCCTAAACCGGCTTCGGGCTTCGACAAAAGTCTAGACCCCGAGCCCCGAACCCACAACCCTAAACCTTTTAGGGTTTAGGGTTTAGGGTTTAGGGTTTAGGGTTTAGGGTTTAGGGTTTAGGGTTTAGGGTTTAGGGGATTGATCATCCCTATGAACCCTAGACCCCACATTCCCCATGCCGGTTCTCTTGTCGTCGCCCCTGTGGAAGATGAGCCCCAATGCGAGCTGGCCGTCCTGGCTGGCTATTCTTGAGTTTTCGGACTTGGGGGGTTTAGGGTTTAGGGTTTAGGGTTTAGGGTCTAGAGGTTTGAGGTTTAAGGTGAAGGTCTTAGGGTCTAAGGGTTTGGGGCCTAAGAAGGCCTAGGGGGGCTAGCTTCAAGACAACCTTGAGTAAGTGCTTCGGGCTTGCAGCGACCCCCCTGCACAACCAACTACAAGCACCTATCACGCCTGAACCCTGAACCCTAATTCTGACGCCCCCTAAACACTAAACCCTAAACCCTAAACCCTCAACCGCAAGAGCACCGGACCCTAAACCCTACCGGACCCTAAACCCTACCATAAGGCCTTACAATGCACCCCTATAGCCCTGCGTCTAAACCTCTCAACCCTATACCCTACCAGGATCTGATGCCATTGCAACTCCAGCACCTCGAGATGGCTCTGATGCCATTGCCGCTCCAGCTCCAGGACCAGATGGCTCTGATGCCATGTTCTCTCCAAAACGCGCAGGCGATGCCACTCCAGATCCAGAGGCGACCAGATGAGCAGGCCGGGCAGCAAGTCCAGCGCGAGGAGCAACCGGGACAGGTGAGATACTGCATGACTCTAAAGCCGAAGCACCGCGCCCTGCCCAAATTCGGACCCTAAAACCCTAAACCCCAAACTCTAAACCCTAAACCCTAAAGCCTTTAGAATCCGGAAGTCCCCCTGGCCGAGAGGCTCTCGGAGGCCTCTGGCGGATGACAGTCCCCAGGACTCCAGGACCAGGGACCCTTTAGGGTGACCCAAGCGTCCCAATAGCGACCACACAGTCCCAATTGTCCTAAGTTTCCCAGAAAAACTACTTACACACTAAACCCCAAAACCGAGTGACATGTGAATTTGGGATGGCTTTGGCTTGGTTTGGGCTGGCCCTGGTTTGTCTCGCTGTGCGTCGTTGGGCGGCCTTGGCGGGGGGGGAATGTCTTCACATTGCTGCGCGTGATTGAGTGGGCGCGCTTGTCAACCCGCGACCTGCCGGGCACATCCTGAACCCTAAGCCCTAAGCTCTAAGCCCTAAGCCCTAAACCCTAAGCTCGAAACCCGAAACCATAATTAAACCCCAAACCCTAAACCCAAACTGTGGGGTTTAGGGTTTGCCTTTTCCAGTCCTCGTCGGCGTCGACGAGGGGCACCTCGTAGATCAAGCCGAAGTCGTCTTCGGAGACCTCAGCCCGGGCTTTGGGGTTTCGGGAGTTTGGGGTTTGGGGTTTAGGGAACTTTGGGGTTTCGGGAGTTTAGGGTTTAGGGTTTAGGGTTTAGGGTTTAGGGTTTAGGGTTTAGGGTTTAGGGTTTATTAAACTATTCAAGGTTCTATGAAGGCTTCATGGAGGGTTTATGCAGCGTTCATCGAGGGTTTATAGGGTTTTCGTGTGTCTGGGGTCAGAGCCTTTCGCGACCTAAGAGTAACCTGCGCACAGGGTTTATTAGGAGGACACGACACGAGCCCTAAACCTCAAACTTACCCTATACTTCCAGGGATCACCGCCTGCCCTAAACTTAGGGTTTAGGGTTTAGGGCTTAGGGTCCAGGGTTGAGGGTTAAAGCCCAACGCTCGCTGTTCTGCCCAGGGCGCAGGGTGCAATGGAGCCGCCCAGTCAGTATGGATGCCCGCGGCGGCGCCCCAGACCTGGTTGGAAGAGATAGGGTTTAGTAGGATTTTTAGGGTTTGTGGGTTAACGGGTTTACAGGGTTTGCGGGGGTTTTAGGGTTAGTTAGGATTAAGCATGTCAGGGCTTGGTCTGTTTGTTTTGTGGCTGTTTTGTTGGTTTAGGACTAGGCATTCAAGAGTGGACTGTGAGCTGCGAAAAGCTTGATGGCAGCAAGGTTTGAACTGGGAAATTAGGCACCTTACATCAGCCTGTGCTACCCTAAACCTTAAA